ACTAATATGCCTGGCATCACCCCTCACCATGGAGAGATGGTTTACAGAAAAACTAACAATGATCGGGCTTAGAGCGCAGAAACCTGTTTCTCCACTCCTCTGGTGTATAGGGATAAACTGGAAATTTGCGGAGTGATGGCAGATGCACACGTACTCCAGATACTTCTTAACTGTGTTACCGTTGTTTTTGGTTCGCAGCGCTGGGGACAGAATCCAAAAGCTTCTGCGTGTAGATCTCGGGTTTTCTCTCTGGGCTACAGCTCTAGCCATTGTGGTTCTTAATTGGATTATTCCTACTGAGGAGACCCTCTACACACCAGCTGACTGTGAGGTTTTTCTCCTCTGAGTCTCAGTTATCTATGAAATAGGGCAATAGTTATGTTCACTCTGCTGGGGAAAACAGATGGGGTTGTGGAGGCAAGAGTTTTATGTAAACTGGAACCGTCCAGTGCACTTTGTGGAGAAGAGTCAGACTGACTTGGGCTGGAGTTCAGCTCTGCCCCTTTCTGGAGGTGTGGCTCCGGGCAAATCCTTGCCTTTCTTTGAGCCTCAGGTTCCTTATCTGCGAAGTGTGAATACTAGCAGTATTTACTACTCACGGGCTTGTTTTAGAAGTCAAATAAGGACCCAATGAGATAACAGAAGCCTGTGGTATACAGTAGCCCAGCAAATGTTCCTCCTCAAACACATGTGCACACACACACAGCCCTTGATGCAACCAAAGTAACAGAGTGTTCTCAGTTTGGAGGAGAAAACAGGCAGCCAATGAGCTGGCTCTCTAGTTTCCATTCTAAGAACGGAACTCACTGGCCAGAGTCCAGGCTCGTCAGTGATGTGGAGAATAGAAACGAATGCCAACCTCCTACATGGAGTTTCCAAAAAGTGTGAGCACACTGTTGCATAACCTGTCTCCGGAGAACTTCTACAAACTATTCCCCAAAAGGAAACGTGAGCCGGGCTGTGGAGCATCCTCAGGAGGGAGGAGGGAGGAGGGGAGCTGAGGTGTGGGGCTGGGATCGGGTAGAGAAGCTGCTGGCTCTGGTGGCACAGGCCTGTAATCTGAGCTATGTCAGAGGCTGAGATAGGAGGATCACAAGTTCAAAGCCTGTCAGGAGTACAGAAAGAGTTCAGAGCCAGTCTGGGCAACCTAGACTCTGCCTTAAAATAAAAAGTGAAAATAGGGCCAAGGAAACAAGTCAGTAGTAGAACACTTGCCCAGCATGAGCAAGCCCGAGGTTCAGTCTCAGTACGAAAAGGTGGACAGACAGACACAGAAGGAGTCATACTTATTGAACTCCTACTATGTCCCAGGCTCTAGGTTCATTCCGTCTGATACTTATTATAGTAAGATCCTTGTCTCAGCTCTGAAAGCTTAGGTATTTCCACTCCCACATTCCAAAGGAAGAAATAACAGCAGTAATTAATACTGCCAACATTTACACAACACTGACTGCTTATCAGGCTAAGCACACATTTGATCCTCAGTACAGTCCACTATAAGGGTGCTACTGTGATCCTTGTTATGACGAGAAGACCAATGAGAAGGGGGTGGGGGAGTGAAATAAGTTCCCCAACAAGGCTGTAGTAGAGCCAGGATTTGTCTTTGAACAATCCCATGTCACCTGAGTGACTTACCAGGGTAGATCAGGAGCTGACCCTAGTACTAATTGCCCTTAAATGCTTGTAGTTAGGCCCCAGTGTGGGGCTGAGGTAAGTGACCAAATGATTAGACACTCAGAGGACAGTTTGTCCTAGCTTGTGGCTATTTGCCACCTCTGCTTCTGACCCAAAGTTTGGATTTCATTCATAAGTTTGTAACCACAGACTTGGCAGTGCAGGAAAGGCCCTTGGGGACCAGCTATTCTAGTCCAACCCCCTCGTATTACGAATGGAAAAAAACCCTAAAACCTAGCGAGAGCCAGGGACACATCAAAGTCATGGAGAAACAGTCTGTTGGATGGAGGAGTTGGTTTGGGGTCACCTGCAGGTAATCTGTGGTTGCCAAATATGTAACTCTGATTCATCTTTTAAATGTATTATTATTGACAAGATATCTCTATATATTCAAGGTTTCAGGAGTTCATGATCCCATCTCAGCCTCTAGACTTGAGAGTATAAGGATTACATGCATGTGTCACCATACCTACGTTGGGATTAGCTTTAAATGTACAGATTTTTGAGTAGAAGGGTCATTCAATAGCACAGTGTTTGTATAACGTGTGAGGCCCTGGGTTTTATTTTTAGCACCACACACACACACACACACACCACATGCTTTTGGAGGTCAGGGAACAAGCTGAAGGAGTCAATTTCCTCCTCTCACTGTGCAGGTCCCAGGAACTGAACTCCAATCTTTAGGCTTGCCAGCAGGTGCCTTTGCCTGCCGAGCTAGCTCATCCGTGCCATGAGACTGATCTCTATGCTCTGCTTTCATAGAGGAATCCAAATGTGCCTTGTTTCTCAAGAGGTTCTGACATCACAGGGTATTGCATTTGGAAGTTGGAATCCAATTCCTGGCTTTTCCTTTACAGTCCGGGATATTAGGGCCCGCCAAGGGACTTGCCCAAGGTCATACAGCAAGTCTGTGACGATCTCATTCCAGAAATAGGCTAAGGGGCTGGTAAAGAGAACGGCTAGGGTTCCTTGAGCTCTTGGCTTCCTTGTTGGAGTCAGGTTAAGACATAGATGGTGGCCATTTCCCGGATTCGGCAAGGTAAGAACCCAAAAGCTGAGCCTTCGAAGGGAAAAGGAAACAGCAGAGCAGGAAAGGATGTGGCCAGCCACTGGGGCTTTCCCAGAGGCAAGCTCTAAGCTCCAAGAATGACATCAGACGTTATCTGTCCACGCAACCCTAAAGCTACCTGTGAGTCCTGTTTCAGGACGACAGGGAGCACTTCTGCTGTGGGGGACGAGATGGGGGGACGGAACCCAGCTGTGACGTGAAGAGAGTGGATCGGGTATAAACAGACCTGCCTGTGGGAAACCAGGACAAACCTCTCCACTCTGTGCATTCTCTAGACCTCTGCGCGCTCCTCTCCCTCATCCCTCCCTCGCTGCAAGGCTGAGTGGAGGAATTTACTGGCCCTTTCCCTGTGGTGCCATGCTCTCTCCTTCCTTCTGCCATCTGGAAAGGAAGTTGGTGTTTGCAGCCAGAGACCCTTTGTCTGAGTCCATCCTCGGCCTTTATCTCTCTCTCTCTCTCTCTCTCTCTCTCTCTCTCTCTTTCTTTGTTCATTTTGTTTCTCAACACAGGGTCTCTCTGTGTAGCCCTGGAACTCATTCAGTAGACCAGGCTGGCCCCTCAAACTCAGAGATCTGTCTGCCTCTGTTTCCCGAGTGCTGGAATTAAAGGCTTGCACCACCATGCCCTGCTCAACCTCAGTTTCTTTACAAACAACTGTCTTGGGCTTTGAGAATTATATCACTGACGAGTATTTGACAGTCTCACAGACACTGTATCCTGTGAATCAGTGGACTAGAAGAGTCTGAAACGTGCTGAGCTGTACTGAGGTACCTAAAAGATGGTTGAGTTGAGAAGTACCTCAGCAATCTTTGGGCTAGACTCCAAGTGAATTATTTACAGTTTCCAAATGACAAGAGAAGTCACATACCCTGGCCAAAGCCTGGTTTCTTTACTTTTGTCTGGGATTCTATCAATTCCAAGTGATCACATGGCTATCACTTGCTCTTCGGACAGGCAGATTATGTGGGGCTTTCGTCAAGCACTTAAATGGGAAGATAATTCGTGCAGTGTGAAGTAGACGTTGGAAAACGTTCATGTAGTCCAGCTCCTCATTTCATAGACGGGGAAGCTGAGGTTTAAAGACAGGAGTGGCTCAGTGGTCACACTGCTAGCAAGTGGCAGAGCCGGCAGAAAGCCCACACTCCTTTCCTAGGACCTCCCACTTCCTTCCTTTGTGCTCTTCTATGAAGTTGGGGAACTTGGGTCTTTGGGAACAGAAATCAAATGAGTCATGGGTTTGCCTTTGCCCTTTCTCTGCTCTTGATTCATTCGACAAATATTTACTGACTGTCCATTATTCCGTTTCAGGGAAGGCGGAGATAAAAGTGAACATGGAGGGAGGCAAGGTCAAGTTTGATGCCAGCTGTGACTTCAGGAGCTGTGTTTTTCTCTCCATTGGATGGTCACCTCAACACCCGCTACTCGGCCATTTAATGTAACCGTGTCCAAGTGCAGGGCAATGTCTCTTGTGTCCAAATCTACCCAGTCTCATCTGGATTGCAATGCCTCTTTTGCCAGGTATATGGGGACACACCTTTACGCCCAGAACTCAGGAGGCAGAGGCAGGCAGATTTCTGTGAGTTCAAGGCCAGCCTGGTCTACAAAGCAAGTTCCAGGTCAGCCAGGGTGGTTACACAGAGAAAACCTGTCTTGAAATGAACAAACAAAAAGCCTGTTTTCTCACTAACTTTATGTCTTTAAGACCGTATGTTGCCTCCCTTCTCTGACCTTTAAACATCAGGATAATGAGAAAGCGACCAAAAGAAGATATGTAGAAAAGCCCGAAAGTTCTGAACTAATTAAGGAGAGAAAACCCTGAGAATCTAACATGAAGTTGGTTAATGTTTAACCTGTATTTTCCGTTGGAAAACTCTGTGTGTGTGTATGTGTGTGTGTGTGTGTGTGTGTGTGTCTGTGAGTTCCAGGTGGGCCTGGAATATAGCAAGTTCAAGACCAGCCAGGGCCACATAGTGAGACTATCTCGAAAAAATGTTGTTTTGGGTTAAATTTAATTTGTTGTGTGAGCACAACAGTCAGATGACAGCTTGCAGGAGGGAATCAGTTCTCTTCTTCCAAATTATGGGTTACAGGGATTGAACGCAGGTCTGGTAAGCCTTTAACACGCTGAGCCATCTCGCCATGCTTCAAATGGTGAATATTTTTTTTAATTTTATTTATTCCTAGACTTTCCACTCCTTTCCCTCCTAGGAATGCACCTTCTGTTTTTTTTATTCCCCTCTAGAGGGCGCGCAAGATTCACGGCTTTGTGTCTCATTTCCGTTTGCCTTCATCCTTCCTCCTACGCATGTGCACAGTTGACTTCCTGGCCGCTCAGTACGGCCCGTCGGCCGCCGTCCCCGGAAACGCTTTCTTCCCACGCAGCCGCAGGCCGCCGCTCTTCGGCCTCTCTAGGCCGGCAGATTCTCCGCTCCATGGTCCTGTCTGTCAGCTCAGTGTCAGGAATCCACGGGTGAGGCCGGGCCGCGCTCTGACGCTTCAAACCCTCGAGCCGGTCGCGGGTGAGTGAACCCGGGAGGAGCCCGGCGGACGGAACCGACAGGGTTTCCCCTGACGCCGTGAGTGGGTCCGCCCGCCCCGCCTCCCCCACCTCCCGGAATGGTATGGCTCCTGGGTCCCAGGCTCTCCTCCCTCCCGCGGCGTTGCCAAGGCGACGGCCGGCCTGCTGAAGCTCCGTGTGTCTCCCCGCAGGTAGCCCGGCGGCCGCGGGCTGATGGCGTGGCTGCGCTGAGCAGCGCGAGTGGCTGCCGAGCCCCGCGGGCCGGCATGGCGGGCCAGTTTCGCAGCTACGTGTGGGATCCATTGCTGATCCTATCGCAGATTGTGCTCATGCAGACGGTGTACTACGGCTCGCTGGGCCTGTGGCTGGCACTGGTGGACGCGCTGGTGCGCAGCAGCCCTTCGCTGGACCAGATGTTCGACGCGGAGGTAGGTTTGGCGGGATGGAGTAGGAGTAGGTTTTTGTGGTCCGGCACCGCCGAGCGTTAGATCCAGGTGGGCCACGTTCTCATTTTGGGGACCTAAGAAAGAAGGGATTCCAGTCCCCCACCCCCATCTGTGAAGTGGAATGACTGAGGGCAGGGAGGCTGATGAGTTCACTCTCAGGCGTGTCCAGTCTTGTGATGTTGGGAAACGACGCATCCACGCTCAGGAACTGCGCATTCGAGTTAAGACAAAACAAAACAAAAAAAGGGGGAAAAAATCTCATAGAGTTTTAAATAACTTTACAGTTTTGTGTTGGGCTGCTCTCATAGCTAGCTATGCAGCATAGCCTGAGGTTGAACACAAATGGCAGATACTACAGTCAACAGGCTTGTGTCCCAGGCAAACATGGAAAGTCTCTTTGCTGAGACCCTCCAGAAAAGTGACTACACTTCTCTCAGTTCAGATTTCCAGGGACCACAGGAAGAGGAGTAGATAAAGGGCATCCGGTGTGGTGCGGTGGGAACTATTAGGTGTCCTATGAGCATCTTATTTAAATTCCACTCTGTTTGCTGTGTGACAGATGTCACCTCTCGTGTCTACAAAATCATACTGTTGGCATTAGGTGGTAGACTGTAGTACAAAAGGCTTGCCCATGTTTAGAGTCCAGTCTAGCTGAAGGAACTTGACAAGTTGTTTCACCTTTCCAAGCCCTTTCCTCCTCTGGAAAGTGACAGAATATTCCTGTCATGTCACCCACAGTAAAATGATAAAAGTTCCAGAGGGGCTTAGGAATAAGAAAATGTGTGTGTGTGTGTGTGTGTGTGTGTGTGTGTGTTGCATGCCTTTAATACCAGCTCACAGAAGGCAGAGGCAGGTGGATCTGAGTTTGAGGCCAGCCTGATCTACAGAGTGAGTTCCCAGACAGGAAACACAGAGAAAACCTGTCTCCCTAAACAAAACAAACAAAAACCAGCCAAAAAAGGAAATGCTTTGTAAGGAATGGTGAGCGCCTAGGAGGTTGTTGGGAGAAGGGGCTGTGATAGTGATGAGCAGAGCTCTTGGTTCAGGAGACCTGGCCTGGGGTCCTCGTGCTTGTTACTCACCCTCTGCCTTTGGATAACTAATTATTTGAGAAGAGATTGTAGTAGCATTGTGAGATCATGGATGTCAAAGGCCTTTGCAAGCTGAAGTATGGTTCTGATATTTAGTACTTAATAGTACTCTGTCAGCAATAAATATTGCTGACATTCTAGGTGCTGAGCACTTTGTGGGAGGCTCCATCCTTCTTGTAAGGGCATATGGGAATCAGGTTTTGTTGCAGAGGGGCCTGATGCACACAGCCTGGGTTCCAGCTCAAGGTTCAGCAGTTTTTGGAAGGATGGGGTAGTAAAGGTTTTTTGGTCATGCCTTTCAACTCTACCTTTATAGTACAAAAGCAGTCGTAAGTAGGTCAGAAAATTGTGAACTATATTTCAATAAATTTGCAAAAGCAAAGCCTGGCCTGCAGAGCATTAGTTTGCTGGACATCCTTTTTGTCTCTTGCTACTTTGTCACCTCAGGCGACTTCTCTAAACCCTGTGTCTTCTTTTGTAAAAGGAAAATGATATCCTTCCCTCATACCATGAGGCTCAAATGAGATTCCACAGTGGGTATGTGCGAAAGAACCATGTTGGAAATAGGCTACTGTGTGGATGGAGGTGTTGTCTTTTGTTCTCTGGGACCAGTGCTTGTGCCATAGGCTGTTTGCTAGGATCCCGGGGCTCTGCCAAGTCGCTTCTCTAGCATATTTCCCTTTGTGATTCCCCCTCAGATCCTGGGCTTTTCCACCCCTCCAGGCCGGCTCTCAATGATGTCCTTCGTCCTCAACGCCCTCACCTGGTGAGTATCACCAGCTCTACTGTACATCTTTTGGGTCTAACTGGAACTAACCTCCTAAATGTAAACAAGAGGCAGGCTGGCACTTCTTGGGAATGGTAAGATGGGTGGGAGAGCCTATTTCTATGGACTGGCCCTGTCGTGGGTCTCCACTGTTGTTTTGAATTAAGTTCAAATTCTTCAGTCACTGTATGTGTGCTGCTGCCTGATCGTGTACCCAAATGTGGTGTGAGCTGAGGAAAGAATTAGACCAGAAACCAGGAGAATTGGCTTTCATTCTTGCTCTGTGCCATTGACCCAGTTACTTTCCTCCTCGCTGGGACCCAGGCTCCTTGTATATAGTCCAGGGGTTGGACTAGGTAACATTTAAGGTCACTCATGACCACTGCCCTTTTTTTGAGGATCAGTTTAGCATAGGGACCAAGGTCTTAGACTTAAAGCAGACTCACCTGGCTTTCAGTCATCCACCACCTTACCACTAGTGTAGCGAATTTGGACAGCTTTATCTCTTTTCCTCTTCAGTAAAGTGGGGCTGATCTGATCACTTAGCTCCTAGTTGTACTGTTTATTCATGGGAAGTACTTCAAACAGTCTCATGTATTATATTATGACTTTACACTGAAGGTGGGGAATATCTAGATTTCTGGCTTCTCTTTAATAGTGGGAAAATGGATGGATTTCAGGTGCCAAGATTTGCCTGGGTGCAAGTAGCTTCTGTCTGCATTTTGCATAGAGTATGTGTACCTTTTGGTACACACCAAAACTGGTGTGTACCATTCCTGGTGGCTGTTTATCGTCAAACTCATCTTCCCCCATTCTGTCAGACCCAGTCTTGATGTTACCCAGCAGGTCTCTCAGCATCTGAGATAACAACCCTTGCTTCTCACTCACTTTGCTCGCTTCTGACCACTGTGCTGTCATCCTAATTGTCCCCACGTCCCCAAGGACTTAATGTAAGGCCAGGACAACCCAGTGACAACGCGCTGATGTCCTTTCCCCACAGTGCCCTGGGCTTGCTGTACTTCATCCGGCGAGGGAAGCAGTGTCTGGATTTCACTGTGACTGTCCATTTCTTTCACCTCCTGGGCTGTTGGCTCTACAGCTCCCACTTCCCCTCGGCGCTGACCTGGTGGCTGGTCCAGGCTGTGTGCATTGCACTCATGGCCGTCATCGGGGAATACCTGTGCATGCGGACGGAACTCAAGGAGATCCCCCTCAGCTCAGCCCCTAAATCCAATGTCTAGAGTTGGGCCCTTTGGATACTCTGCTGGCATTTGGGCCCCCTGTCACCTTGGGCTGCTCAGACCTCCAGATGGGGTCCAGCCCAAGTCTGAGAGGAACCCTGGAAATGTGAAGTCTGTTGGTGGAGAGATAGTGAGGTCCTGTCACAAAGGCAGGTAGCAGTCGTGATCGCAGCTGCAAGAATGGCCTCTGCCTGCTGGAGCTTTGATATCTGGAAGCCAGGACGGGGACCTCATTGAGGGTGAAAACAGATTTGGAACCATGTCAACTCTTGAGCCATCATACCGTCACCAGCCTGTTATTTTAAAAAAGGAAAAAAAAAATCAAGGATATCTGATTGGCGCAGACACTCTTCTGGTTGCCTGTCTTGCCCTTTGGGACAGCTGGTACCTTTGCCCCGTTGCCAAACCACAGTGGTTCTGTGTGGAGACACATTAGACTTTTGGGTTCGTAGCTACAAAAGAGGTGTAGTTGCAAAGTACTAGGCTGCTGTCAGAGGACGGAGGATGAGGCCTCAAGCACAAGAGCAATGCACAGCCTGTGCCCTGTTAGACATATACAAAAGTGTGTTTGTGTGTCCGAGAACCTCCTCCAGTTCTCTGTATGGACTCTACCCTGCTGCCAGCTCTCAACACAGGGGGCTGTAGGACCCAGAGAAGAATCCCAGCACCCCTTCCCTGCAGCCTTAGCTTCATAATAAAAGCCACTGTCTGCTGTCTAGAAATGACCGGGCCCCAGCCCCCACTGGACCTCAGTTGTGGCTAGAGTTTCTTTTTCCTCTCCTGTTTGAACTCTGTGGTGGGGGAGGGTATGATGGGTGCCCAGCTTCCCCGTGGCAGGCTCCGCTGACGGTACTGGAGGAGACAGGAAGTTGCTGTGAAGGCTAGAGTTTGCACCTAGCGTTTTCTCTGTGAGGCGCTGGCAGCTGTCCTTTCTAGGTACATAAATACAGTATTTTCCACACTTTTGCCTGTACTTACTTTATGATGTCACTGTTAGGGCCAAGAGAGAGAGTAGCTGTGCACAGGAGTCATAAGAATTAGTATTTCCTCCTTTCGCAGAGTGATTTCTCCATTCAGATGAAGTACTAACTACCAGGATAAGTATGGTAGCACCTGCTTACCCTAATACTCAGGAGACTGAGGCAGGAGGATCATGAGTTTGAGGCTAACCTGGTCTACATGATCAACTCAGATGTTATAGTGAATCCCTGTCTCACAAAATAAGAGCAAAATAGTGTATCCTGCACTCCGCCTGCATATGCCTCTGCGATGCCGCACGTGTGGTCCCTGAGCATATACGGTGGCATGTACTTGTATGAATCAGGCCGTGTTTCTTTGGTTTCTGGAGCTTGCCCAAGAGAGCTGAGTCTCACAGCTAAAGATGAGTTTTGCTTCCTCCCTATGGAGCCTTTCTTGCCTCTTGGCTCTCAGCCCTGTAGAGTAGGGAGTCACAACTGGCAGAATGAAAATCTGAGAAGGAAAGTGCCTGGGCAAAAGCTGTGCGTGAGCTAGCGTGAGGCCCTTGGTCACTCGGGGTTGTGGCTACGCCGGCTGCAGGGCCTCGGCCCAGCTGCACTGGTGGATTTCCTCCGACACACACTCCTCAGGTCTATGACCACAATGAAGGGCTAGAACGTTCAACATGGCTGTGGTCTCCCGGGAGCTGTGAGTCTGCTGCTCCAGGCAAGAACAGTGCTGGTGTTCTCTTTCATTTGCATGTGCCAGCTTTGCCTGCATAATTCCTTTGATGAGAAACCTCTGTCTTTTGATGCCCATTTGATTTTTGAAAATTGAAAAAGCACCAAAAGGAACCAAGGTGACTTGTTTGGTTTTTTGCCCCAGTAATATAATGACTGAACTGAGTGACAGTTGACTAAAAATTGCATGATCTCCCCCAGAAGGCATGGAGACAGAAACTGAGGGTATGGAGACAGACAGGGCTTGGAGGTGGAGACAGAGAGAGAGGGCATGGAGACAGGCGTATCCCCATAGCTTGCTGGCCATCTTGCCTAGATGAAATAACAGGTTTCCAAGTCAGTGAGATACCTTGTTTCAAGATACTCACTAGGCAGAGTGTGATAGAAAATAACATTTTGATGCCCTGCTGTGGGCTCCACAAATGCACACACACACACACATTCATAAACACACAGTTTATGACTTTCAGATGCGTACAGTTTCTGAAGCAGCAATATGAATGGTTTCTAGAAGTGAGTTACAAACTGCAGTGGCAGTGACATTTTGTCAATTTCGTAACAAATGCATCTTTTCTATTGTGTGCTTAATGGGTGTCTATCTAGCAGAAGGCCAGGGACTTGTTTCTTCTCATGTGACAACCTCAGTAGGAAGTCCCATCATCCGTATCTTTTCTTTTTTGTTTGGTTGGTTGTTTGTTGTTTGTTTGGTGGTTTTGTTTTGAGACGGGGCCCTGTGTAGCCCTGGCTGACCTGGAACTCACGCTATAGACGAGGATGGCCTCGAACTCCTAGAGATGCACTGAACACACAGTGGCCAGGGTGTTCTCTAGCACCGCCCAGCTTCATCATACACACCTTACAGATGAAACTGTGGAACCTGCCCGCAGTTATTTGTCAACCTCAGAATTTGGGCTCTGGAAGTGACGATGATAAGCTTGTGCAGCAAAGGTCAATAGCTGGGATGTGCGAGTTCTGATTGGCTCAGCAGACATAGCCTTAGACCTTCAATCTGTTTTCCTGAGTTAGCTTGAACAGAACTTTACATATATCACTAGGTATTCAAGAACAGTGCATAGGTAACATACAAATTAGGACCACAGATTAGCTAGTGACGCAGGAATACAGGCTGGGTGTTTATCTCCGGAAGATGAAGGCTACAGTCTAGATGAGAAACCTACGTCCATCTTCCTGGTGAAAGAATATACCTTTCTTGAGAGTTCAAGTCTTGACCCTGCCTCTCCCTTCACTCGGCCTAACATCTGAATTCAGACCATTTGGAGAGAAATGTGGAGAATTGTATAATTGCCACTTAAAACAGTTTATAGCCCCAAAAGATGAGGGAAGTGTGGCTCAGAGGCACCTCTAATGCTTCGGGTCTAGGCAGCTCTGTCTAGATCAACTATGTGGAAGCCAGAATGCACTGACAGAGATCTTGGAGGGAGGGGTTTTGAGGAAGGCTCTAGGTCCTCAAGTCCTGAAGGGTTCATAACTCAGTAAGTCTTCTGGAAGCTGAGTTTTTTGGACACTCTGTGACTTCAGGGTGACTTCCTTCTGACCAAAGGGCAGGCACATCTTGGAGGAAAGTGATAAAGCTACTGAAAGGAGCATTGAGGCAGGGAAGGAAATGGAAGCTGAGTCATCCTGGCCCTCGGTCCTCAAGTCTGTGGGATTGGTAGCAGGATGGAGGACTAGGAAGCTGCAGTGGGTTGAGAAGAATTGCCGAGTTGGCAGCTGGCTTGGCTAGGGTGTGTTGGGTCTCACTCTCCAACCTCCACCCCTGTAACATGAGGGGGCCGGCTTGTTGATGTATCTGTCCCGCCCGGCACCCCACAGCCAGCAAGTCCCAAAGAAAATCACACACAGGACTCCATAAGATTATAAACTGATTGGCCCATTAGCTCAGGCTTCTTGTTAACTAATTCTTACATCTTACCGTAACCCATAATTCTTGTCTGTGTTAGCCATGTGGCTCAGTACCTTTTCCAGCTGTCAGCTCACATGTTGCTTCTTCAGTAGTCTGGGCAGGAATGGCCGAGGGAGCTTCCTGCTTCCCAGAATTCTCCTGTTCTCTTTGCTCCACCTCTACTTCCTGTCTGGTTTTCCCGCCTATACTTCCTGCCTGGCCAGTCAGCATTTATTTAAAATATGATTGACAGAATACAGACAATTCTCCCACACCACACCCCTGCAAAAGATAATGGTATAGTGTTTCCGTGTAACTATATACATGTTCTTCATACTTCAGATGGTACAATATCAGGATGGTGGTGGAGGCTGTACAGTATTGTTCAGGGAACGGGGAAAGTGTACATGCTCAGTATGGATGGACATCTTTATTGAGTATTTTCTGTTTACAGCTGGTTGAATCCCAGGGTACAGAACCCATGCATGCAGGACTGTGGAGAGCAGAGTGTACTATTTCTTTGGATTATTGTGAGAATTTCATGCAATATCACATTTGCACAGTGTCTGGCAGGTAGGAAGAAACCTGTGATTCTGAGTTCCCAGCCTCCCTCCCACTTCCCCGCTTTACAGTGGAGGAAACCGCAGCCTGAATTCTCCTGTTGGCCACACCTGCAGGGCGCTGATTGTGAGTTCTCTCTCAATCCCTGCATCGGGACCACTATTTGTTTTGTAGATGTGGGAGGCAACAGTTCACCCCCAACGTCACACAGCTGCTCAAAAGCCACGTCTTTTCACATCCCGCGTGTTTGAGTGAACTTGATCCAGATAATTGGGACGTCTTGGGAAACTGACAGCTAGGTCCCTTTCAGGCACTTAGGTAGGAGCTCACCAGGGAGAGGCGGAGCCAAGACTGAGTAAGTCTGGCACAGAACTGGAGAAGTCTAGGGAAAGGCTGAAGTCCTTCAGCACCCCACAAACTGGCTTCCCTGCATAAGCCTCATCACTTCAGACTCTCTGAAACGTGTGTTAGTGTCCCCCTTTTTTGAGACAAGGTTTCACTATGTAGCCTTGACAATTGCTATATAGACCAGGCTGTCCTTGAACTCACAGAGATCCATCTTTCTTCTGTTTCCAAATGCTGGGAATTAGAGCTGTGCCACTACTCCCAGCTTATGTCCCTTAAACAAACAACAAAACAAAAAAACAATTGAAATAGTGAGCTGTGGTGGCGCATACCTTTAATCCCAGCATTCTGGAGGCAGAGGCAGGCAAATCTGAATTTGAGGCCAGCCTGGTCTACATAGCAACTTTAACACCAGCCAATGCTATGCAATGAAATTTTAACTCGAAAAAGGGGGGGTGGTGGAAATCTGGCTCTTTGTAATGACTGAGTGTTTGGCTAGCATGTGCAGTACTGTGGATTTGATTCCCTGCATGCACACACACACACACATACACCAAAAATAGAAGAAGCCAATTTCAGAGATCCTATGACTTAAGTTGTTCAGTCAATGCTTGAGTTCAATTTGATCACACGTATATACATACATACACACCCCAGTATACTCTTAGGAAGCCATTTCTGGGATATGCTTTCCTCAAATAATGGGTTTTACCAAACCCAGAAGGACGTCAGACTTAAGTGGACTTCCTTACATACAGGAAAGTGGGCAGTGGGATGTAAGTTGATGGTGGTCATGTCCAGAGCATTGGGGGTGGGGGTCTGGGAGAAGTCCTATTGGGAGATACTTGGGCCTTCCTTCCATAGGCCATGCTATACCTCAGCCTCTGCACTGGTCTCAGCTCCCCTCTTCTCGGAGCGCACAGTGGAAATTGCCAGCCCTGGGCAGGCCTTATCCACTGGGGCCTTTCCGTGAGTCCCTCTCTGAACTGGCTGCCATGAAGACAGAGCTTGCTGCCCTGGCCACCCACTGAGGGATGCCCATCTGAGGTCACAAGTTCACCATACCGGTTGATAAGCAGGAGGTTGGAAAGAAATTGAGTAGAAGTTTACCAAGGTTGAGGAGACTCAAGATGGAGACCACTGAGCAGGAAACAGCTGGAAGGAGTGACTGGGGAAGAGGTTGCTGGGAAATGGCAGGGGTGGTGATGTACAGAAGGGCCACACAGGGTGCTCAGATAGCACTGGGCTGCACCCATAGGAAGAAGCATGAAGTAAAGGTGGTGACCTTCTCCCCAAAGCTGAGCAGAGCAGTATAGTGGGTCGGTCCTAGTGCCAAGTTTGGCTCTGGCTGGCCCATGTGAGGCTGCCCCTCCAATGTAGACGGCAGTGCCAGGCATAGTAGGGAGGGGCAGTGCGAGTGGAAGGCTAAGAGACCAGTCCTCCCATCAGTCTCCCTCCCAGATGAGATCTTGTCATCACTGCCCTGCCTCTCCAGAAGGGCTTTGTGACCCTGTCCTTCAGTGGCTCAAAGGCTGGGTACCTCACCTGCAGGCACAGCCATTGGTTGCTGCTAGCCTCGGGAGACTATTGGAAGGATTCTAGTCTTTGTCCAAAGAAAACCTGGGTTCCCCTGCCTCATCTCCTTAACCGTGTGTGCAAGGCCCTATCGTGGCTCCTGACTGATAAAGTCAGCCAAGGACGGGCCTCAGGGTGACTGTGCTATTACACCTGAACTGTAGGACACAGTGCCAGCTCTCCTCCTACCCTGGTGTTTCCTATGATCAGTGATCCAGGAGGCCCAATTATTGACACCACGTGCATTGATAGTCAGTGTGGAGTTGGATTCTGGGATGACTCCATTGGCCAAGGCAGGCTCTGCGTGTGACGTTTTCCTCTCTTGGAAAAGTGGGATGGAGAAGCCAGGAGACCAGGGGTAGATTTTGCTCCAGCGGCTCCTCTCTCAGGAAGCTGGGGTAAGTCACTTGCTATATAGGTGTACAAGTTTCTGCTTCTCCTTGAATCGCAGGGCCATTGTGAGGCACCTGCACCCAGGAGATAAATGGTCTCTGACTTCACAGAGGAAGTGCGTACTGCCCAAAGGAGCCAGCTTGTGGGGGAGATTGAAGGATTACAACTTGGTAGATTTTCTGCTATGGTTTTAGAAAATGACTTTAGGAGCCTAGGGATGGACCCACAACATACACTCCCTCCCCACCTCGCCACTGCACCTCCCCCAGGATCCTTGCCCTCCATGTTTATGTGATTGCTAGCACTAGACAGGCGGAGCCAGTGGTAATATTGTTCAGTGGCATATGAGCGATTTTATTTGTAAACTCATGAAAATCCCGCTCTTCCCTCCCTTTAGCTGATTGCAGGATCTCTACTCTTCTTATGCTTCAAGTTCCCTTCCAGGGTTACACCACCTGTCAGCAGAGATCTCCATGTTAGTCATAGAAATCACCCCCAGGGGGCGCTGTTGTCCAGTGAGTGGGCACAGGGCCTGGGAGCCTTGGTTTTTGTGGTAAGTTGGAGCTATCTCCAACTTAAAGGAAACCCTTTAAGGTGAAACTCAGGAGTCAGTCACCCTCTTCTGTTCATGAGCATCTCAAGCCATGACGGGAAGAGTTTCTTGTCTTTGTTTAAAACCTTTTTCTTTTTTAACATAAGTCTTAAAACGTGACTGAATTAGAGTTGATTTGGCCTAAGAGGAGGAGATGCAGCAAAGCCCAGTGTGGCTACTTCCCTCCTCCCTAGCTTAAACATCCTTTGGGATTCAGGGCCACAGCAGTGGTTCCCACTCTCCTGCGGTCTCCAGACAACGAGATGATATACTGGGTCCCACATTTCCATTGCTCCTTCCCTAGAGCACAGTCAACTGAGATACATCCTCAGCCCAGCTATTACCCTGCGGTGTGGCCTAGTCAATGGCTTCCTCTCTCTGGGTGTGGGGCCTCCCAGTCCTGCCACCTACAGTCAACAAGACCCCAGACCCCTGAGTCTAGGGCTCAGGTGTGGGCCTGCCTGAGGGGCTTGCCTTGGCCTGGCAGTGGTATCGTCATACCCACCTCATATGGATGCTACACAGGCAGCTCAAAGTGACACAGAGCAGAACCGGGTACAGGGGCGCTTGACGCGGCGTAAGGCAGACGATCTGCACATGATCCGGCGCCCCGGGGGGTGGATACGTGTGGGAAGCCCCTCAAACCAGACCAACTGGTCAGTTTCATCCAGTGGTTTCATGTTCATCTTGGGAGTTCTGTGATTGTAGGTCTTCAGGAAGACAATTCGGGGCTCCTTGACATGTGGTTTCCTCTTCTGGGCTCTGGTAAGCAAGCCATGATTCTTTGATATCTTGGGGACTTTAGGCTTTGCCTGCTTTTTTCTCTGTGGCGCTGCTGCAGGTGACCCCTTTGACCCTTCTGTGGGCTCCCACTCCTCTGACGTGTTTTTATTAGGTTTCGCTATGGGCTTTGCATTCCTAGACTCCGGTTTCTTCACCAGGGCCAGAACGTCTTGCAGCTCTTCATCCTTTTGTTTCACTTTCACGTTGTTGTCCCTGACGGGGAGAAGGAAGGTCAGCGGAGCAAGGGTTCTTCCTTCTAACCCAGTCCTGAGCGTCGCTATGGTGCTGGTTCAGGGAGCCTGCTAGAACTAGAGGTAGACTGAAAAGAAACGTCTCTAGTGCCTGGAGGTACTACTGTTAGTTTTAGTAGAAAGGATGTGAGACATTGGCAAGGCAGAAGGCATGACCAGTATTTGAGAGCCCAAGGGTATATATTCTGTTGGCACCTGCTGCTACACTAGGCCTCTGTCTCAGCCAAAAGGGAAGACTGCCCAGTGTTCCTTTCCAGTTATATTCTAAGAAACCATGGGTCTCTGAGGAAGCGTCTCCCTACCCTTGCCTGGGCTAGGTAGAAGGCAGGATGAGGACAAGGTATCTCTCACATTGAGATTTAGGGACAAATGTTTTTAAGAGATGTTTCTGTGCTTCAAGAACTATGGTGGTCTGTGACCCTGAGCCTGGTTCTGGGCTTTCCTGTCGCTCAGGGGCCACATCAAAAAGAGATGCCTGAGGAAGGAATTAACAGTTTTCAGGAGTTTGAGTATCAGATTGAGCCAGGCAAAGCCCCAAGCCTGCTCACCCTGACTGATGACAGTGATGGCCACTAGGGGCCTATTGTCAAGATCTGCCAAGTAGGAGGCAAGGAAGCAGCCGAAGTCAGGAGAGCAGTCTTTGGAGACAGCATCTGGATGGAATAAGACATTTCACCTCCCAGAGCCCAGTCAGGGTCTCCATCATAAGACGGATAGTCTCATGTACCTAGGTTGTCGGGAAGAAGCTTCTAAGGGTGGAGGGGCACATGTGTAACATGTAAGCAGAGTGGCTGGCACTTAGCATGCACTTATATAAATGCTCCTCAAATTCTAGAGTGGCCCATGAGTAATCAGATTGAGCAGGATACATGTATCTTCAGATTCAGAGAGCAGTCTGTGAGATCATCTCTGAGCTAGGCTGCAGGCCCAGGAGGAAGAGAAAGCTCCCCACGTACACACTCAGTACCACAGTTATAGGTGGGCCCTTCAGTAGATGACTATGATCACTGTTACAGCCACAGCTTTGATTTCAGGTGGGAATGACTTCAAACAGGTGCCCTGCCAATTGTCAGTTAGTTCAGTTGGCTGAGATAAATCCCTTCATCACTGGAGTCTCAGTCCCTGTCAATAAAATACCTTGCACAAATATCTGTTGCACAGAGCCCTTGTGTAAAGTAGGCCACTGTTCCCCAACCCCTCACCACAGTGCCTGTTCCTAGGAAGGATAGTTGCTGGGTATTTTGTGTGTGGGGGAGGAGGGGTGTGGCTTGAGCTCACCCAGAGGAGATTTGGAGAATCTTTGGGACTCTGATTATTAAATTCCAGCACCTTCTGGCCAGGCTATGCAGTTCTCGGATCCGGTCATTTGAACTCTTGAGTAACTTCAAGAGGGACAAGTTTTTTAATACCTGCCAGGGTCAGTAAACAAGAAAATTAGAGGCTGCCACTCTCCAGGGTCACCTTCCATGCCCTTTCTATGGCTTGTCTCAGCGCAGGGCTAAGTCTGCTGGCTCCCCGGGGTCACTGGGCCCGACACCTGGGGTCGCACTTCAGTGGGGAGTTTGGTTCCCCTAAGCAGGGGCTAAAATGGAACATCTCACCGTTTTAAGTCGGTTCCGCTCAATTAGTTTGCTGGCAGGCTGATTTATCTTGTCCTGCAGTTTCTTATCTTGCATCTGAGAGATAGGAAGAGAGGGAGAGCTAGCATAGAAGGAAACCCCTTGCATGCCTGCACTGTGTCTCTCCATTTGACTGAGCATGGTTTGACCAACCCTAGACTGGGAGTCTTGTCATTTGGCTTTAGAACAGAACTGAGACCATTTTAACTCTGCCGACCTCCTTTCACCCTTCCCCTTTCCCTTTTCTAAATGGCTGGAAAGCCTGTCCTTGGTGTAGCTGGATCATCTGATAAGATACCTCATGCGCTTGGGCTTCAAGACAAAGTCTGACCTTGGAAACCATTCCATTCTTGGGCCTCTTCTTTGTAGATGGATTCATGCTGGGGCTGTAGGAGCAAGACTGGACCCCACACTGCCTGCACCCTGCCCCTCTCACTTCAGCCAGCACTTGAGCTGAGCAATGTATGATGACATTAGACCTGCCAGGCAGTGAGCTGTGACATCACTAAAATGTGTGACAGCATCAAGGCTGTGTCTCTGGAGGGTCAGAAGGCCACTCCCATCTGGAAAAACACAGTAGGTGACAGGCAGCCAAGTCCATGATCACAACCTCCCTGTGAGGTAAGATGGTGGACCCCTCCTTTTAGAAGGAGAAACTAAGATTTTTAAAAGGTGGGGCTAGACAGATGGTTCAGTGGTTAAGAGCACTGATTCCTCTTCCAGAGGACCTGGGTTCAATTCCAAGCACCCACATGGAACTCACAACTGTCTGTCACTCCAAGATCTGACACTCTTACACAGACATACATGCAGGCAAAACACTAATAGAAATAAAAATAAGTTTAGAAAAATACTTTTAAAGGTTACATAATTTACCCAGCTTACACGGCTGCTTGGCGGTAGAGCTGGGACTGTGATGTAGGCCTGACAGGCCAGTCTATGAAGACGAGCTCTCAAATTGCTCCTGTACTCAGCCACGCCACATGTGTTGCCAGGCACCTGCTACATGTTTAAAAGTCATTATGTGTGTGTGTGTGTGTGTGTGTGTGTGTGTGTGTGTTGGTGGAGGTGCCAATCGGTGTTGTCCCCTGGAGCTGGAGTTACAGGCAGTTGTGATCTGATTGGGTGCTGGAAACCAAACTCGGATCCTTTGTAGAAGCAGTTCATGCTTTTAACCACTGAGCCATTGCCCCTGTCCCCTATTTTGCTTTGTAAATAATTGTCTTGCTGTGTTGTCCAGGCTAGCCTCAAACTTGTCTTCCGGCCTTAGTTTCCTCACTTGCAATTGCAAGCATGTGTCAGCTACAATTTAGCTGACATTTGTATTATACTTTCTTTGAATCTTGCCTACATCTTCCATGTATGGCTAGCATGTGGTTATGTCTAAACAGATGTGGTGTCCACATCTGTGTTGGTGTTTGCACTCAAACTGAAGGGTAAGAAGATGAAAATGTGAAGCAAGGTGTGCCGAAATTTTTTCAGCTTCCAATCATGGGCTCTGCATTACTAATATTTGCTCCAGGCTTTCCTTCCTTCCTTTTTTCTTTCTTTCTTCTTCCTCCCTTTCTTTTTCTTTTTCTTCTTTTTTGATTTTTTTCAAGATAGGATTTCTCTGGGTAATAGCCCTAGCTGTTCCGGAACTCGCTTTGTAGACCAGGCTGGCCTCGAACACACAGAGATCTGCCTGCTTCTTCCTCCTGGGTGCTGGGATTAAAGGTGTATGCCACCACACTTGGCCTTTTAGATAGTTTCTTAAGGCCACATCAGGGACCAGCCATTTTCTTTTGTAAAGGGCTGCTACTGTGGGACTTTTCAGCTATAGTTGTGACTGCCTACTTTAGTTCTGTAGCCACCGGTAGTATGTAAGTGAACGACCATGGCCTTACTGAAGAAGACTGTTCACAAATACAATCGATGAGCTGAATGTGGCCCATGGCAACTGGGGACAAATCAATAAAATGACACAGTTGCACTCAGTTTGTCATGCTTCCCTCTCCTGTGATGCACTCCTTCTGCAGTTAATTTCAGCTCAGTAGTTGGTGTCACTGGGCTCAGAGTAGAGAAAAAAACACGCAGGAGTACGTCTTTATGCATCATGTGTGCCGCTCTGCAGGGCTGCAGGGTAAAGGCGCTCAGGGAGACACAAATGATGGCTTCCAGGTTAGAAAGTGACAGGCGAGAGCATTTTTACCTTTGTGTGTGTTCAGTATCATTCTTGTGATTATAAGTTTAGTCATATAACTTTTGATGATGGTTGCACGTATGAACCAGCTTGCAGAGTTTCTCAGCATGGAGGGGTAGACTTCCTGAGCTTCTGAGGCAGATTTAACATGTCACGTAGAACAGATAGAACTAAGGGCTTGGACTGAAGTAAACGGGTATGGGGACAAGAAGGATAAGGAAGGGGTATGCTGTATTACCAAGTGTGTTAATGCAAGGCTGGAGTCCCGGCTCTTGGGAGCCTGGGGCAGGAGGATCAGTTCAAGACCAGCCTGACTACACAGAGAAAACCTATCTCCAAGACAAGACAAAACAGGGCTGGAGAGATGGCTCAGTGGTTGAAAGCATGTCTTTTAAAAGAGGACCTGGGCAGTTGTCAGAACCTATCTCCTGGCAGCTCACAGCCGCCTGTAGCTTCAGTCCCACAGGGTTCTAACAGCGCTGGCTTCCACAGGCACCTGCACTCGCACGCACATACACGTAATCTTTTTCTTTAAGGCAGGTGCATGCACACACATACACATAATCTTTTTTTTTAAGGCAGGTGCATGCACACACATACACATAATCTTTTTCTTTAAGGAAGAAGTCTGGTTTGGGAAATATTTATCAAGAAGGTGGGGTTTGAGCATAGCCCTGAAGGAAATGGATGCTGTGGTAGCAGAACATGAGATTGAAGAGGAAGTTACAGTGGGCTAAGGACAGATTGTTTCACACCCTGAAGGATAATAGACTGTCTGGACACCTGGTGTGCAGTGGCTACATCAGAATGATCCAAAGAGCGTGTAAGAAATAGCTTCTCAGGCACTGCCTGCTCACTGGCCAGTCTGATACCCACTCCATACTACACTTTCTTAAATGTCCTGTATCCGTAATATACAGGTCTGTGGGGATGTTAATCTGCCCAGGGAGGATAACGAGGAGTAATTAGGAAGGAAGTTATCAAAGACAGTCCCTTTGTGCTCACTCTTGTGTGGATTCCAGTACTCCCAGGCCTCTCTGCCTACCCAGCTATCCTTCTCCTTGCTAGAGCCATTATAGTGTTTATCATGTGGATTGTACTAGACTGCACATTCTCCAAGGCCTTGGTGCCTCGTAGCTCCCTCAGCTCCATCCACTGCAGGGGCTGGGATCTGCTACGGACTAGGCACTATGGACAGTAACCAAAGGCAGGGCATGCTCTTTCTGCCCTCTTTTGAACCCATAGGCTAAGGCGAAAAGTACCTCTAGAGCGTAGACTCTTCCAGGGCAGGAGTTTTGTCTGTTTCATTCATTGATAAATTCATCGGGACCTAGAACTGTGTCTGACAAGATCATAGATCAAAATCAGGTAAAAAAACAAAAACAACCCCCCAAATATATAGCATTATCTGTGATTTGGGTAAGTGAGGAATTAAGGAAGGAAATATAGAAGTTAGCCAAGTAAAGGACATAAGGTGACCAGGGCCTTCTCACAAGAGGGAATTTAGTGGGCCTAGGTGTGCAATGGAGTTCTAAGCCATTGTGTTTTACTGGAAAAGTAAGTGGGGCCAAGTGTGGAAGGGTGGACCTGGAAAAATGAGTATGGCTTGGGTGCTGTGTGCTTAGGACCCAGGCTGAGAGCCTTGGAGTCAGCTCTGAGAGCACCAGGAGGGCTCTGTGCTGGGGCAAGCCTGACTGACTGCCTTATTCTGTTCTAGTTTGTACATCTTTTAAAATGTTTGTAAGATTTTAGAGGAGTTATATCAAAATTAAATAACTGTATGTGGTGGTGCACACCTTTAATCCTAGCACTTGGGAAGCAGGTATCTAGGTGCTCAAGGCTATCCTGGACTACGTAGCAGGCTAGCCATAGCTACATAGTAAGATCCTGTCTCAACAAGAAAAACAAATTAAATCGAATGCACAGTAGTTTTCCCTGACCCTCCCGTCCTTGTATGTGAGTAGCCCCTCACTCCATCAACATTACCAGTTAAGCCTCTGACCAACACATTGTGTGATACATTAACATCATCACCCAGAGGGTTCCTTGTACGGCCACTGTATGGGTTTGGAGGAATGTTTAATGATGTGTCCTTGATATTACATCACACAGAATTGTCTCACTGTCCTAAAAATCCCATGTTCTACTTTTTTCATCCCTTCTTCTTTACCAAGCCCTGGCAAACACTGACTTCTTTACTGCCTTCATAGTTTTGCCTTCTAGTATGTCCTGCGATCAAAATTAAAAAGTGTCTCTAGTCATTTTGGATTGGCATTTTTTTAATAACAGCATTTAAACAAACTCCATGTCTGTCCGTACCTTGACTGCTCGCCTCTTTTTAGTGCCGAATAATATTTTCTGTGTCAGTTTATTTATACCTCTCCTACTAGAGAGCGTCTTCTGTGACCCCAGGTCTGGGCAGCTATGAGTAAAGCTGCTGTGCACATCTGTGCTCAGGTGTTGTGCAGACACACACTTCCACTCCATTGGGTACATGGCTGAGACTGCAAGTGCTGGTTCTCTGCTCAGTTTCCTAAGACAGCAGCGAGCCGTTTTCCAAGTGGCTGTACCTGAGACAACCTTTACAATTTTTGTTTTGTTTTTTTCTTTTGGACTTTTATGAGGGGGGACAGGGGTGGGGTTTTCAAGACAGGGTTTCTCTGTAGCTTTGGAGCCTGTCCTGGAACTTTCTCTGTAGACCAGGCTGGCTTTGAACTTACAGAGATCCTCCTGCCTGCCTCTGCCTCCTGAGTGCTGGGATCAAAGGTGTGCACCACCACCACCTGGCTTGTTTTGTTTTTTAATGTAGGGTCTTGCTACAGAGCTCAGCCTAACCTAGAACTCACTATATAGTGCAGACTGTTCTCAAATTTGCAATCCTCCTGCCTCAGCCTCCGGAGTGCTGGGAGTGCTGGAACTCTAGATGCGAGTCATCACACCCATCTTAGTTCATGCTGTCACTCTTTATCTGTTTCGCCACCATCTGGAGTTAGAGACATCTGAGCATTTCATACCCAGGGAACCAGGCTGTACAGTAACAGGGGCTCATGAGCAGTTTTCCATATCCTATCTTGCTTGCTCTTTCCATCTACATAGCGAAAATACAAGTTTCATGGGGAAGAGAAATCTACCCAGTGACACAGGTGGTAAGCCTTGAAAAATAAATAAATTAAAAAAAAAACCCTTTAAAAATAGGTATAGTGAAGCCAGGAAGAGGTGACACACACCTTTAATCTCAACCATTGGAAGCAAGGCAGATCTCTGTGAGTT